TGCCGCTCAAACACTATACTTTTCTGCTCCCACTGAAAAAAAATTAGAGGGAACATTGCTCCTTCCCCCCTCCCCGAGAGAGGGAGGGTGGATTTTATCTGTATGTATATACATAATAGCAAAATGAAGTAAGATGACTGTTTTAGTTAGGACTGGTTTGAGGAATGAGGTAGCAATGGGTTTTCCTGATACCATTTGTGATTCATAATACAATACTCTAATATACAATACTACCAGCTCCTATTGCCAGAATAGAGCTTGTGTACCTGAATTCCAATTGTTGAATTCTATCTAGGAAACTCTTTGAGACGATGGTACTAAGAAACTCCTTTGCCCTTTTTGCTTTTTCCATCCTGTTTCCCAAAGCTTTTCAGCATGAAACTGCTGGAAGAAGTCAACCATACATTTCTTACTCCAAAGAATAATTGCCTAGGATTACAACATGGCTCTCTTGCTCTAGAATATTGCCTTATTTCAAATCATTCCACATCCTTCATTGAAAGTGTATATATTCTCAGACATAGCTGTGCAGTTCTAAGTATTTGGGGGCTTTTTGGCTTTATGTCTTATATAGCAAATATTGATTCATTTAACCATTTCTCACTTTGAATTTCAAATATGTGTGAATTCTACCGATGAATTGCTTTCTTCCATGATGTTCTTCTAGAGCAATGAATATGGGGTCATGGCTACAGTTTCTCCACATAGAATAACATTTTGACAGTGATCCAGCTGTCTGTGGGAGAATTTGAGTAGAAAGTGCAAGTCTCACTTTGCTTAGGCAGATGAGCTTCCCTTCCACAAATGCAGTTAGAATTTTAATGACTGCAGGAAAATAAACAGACCAACAGGGTATCTAGGGCTTAGAGTATGGTCATCTGCAACATTTGTGTAGTTTTTTTGCCCTCATCTTCCATTCTTCTATAAAACCCTGATCACATCTTGTGTTGCTGCTGCTGATCCTGGACAGGGTTTGCTCATCATCTGTTCTTCATTGGCTGGAACCTACTTCTTGATATTCTTCTTGGCTTGCTGCTCAGCATAGATTAGGTCTGCCTGGCTATCCCTTTGGTCTGTTTGAATGCCATCTTCTTTCATTGGCTAATGCCTATCCTGAAGTGCCTTCCATGAGTGAGGCATGTAGGAGTTCTTCACCAATGGAGAGAATAGTTTGTACAGATCTTGTGGAACTACCAACTCATAAAAGGCCAGGACTGTCCTTTAACATAATGGGTATGTTGACACTGA